GGGCTGACCGGGCCTCTAGACAGGACTGGGCCTTGTTGGCCGGTTTTCCCATTTGGCATGGGTGGACACGTGGCGTGTCTCAATTGGTCCGTAGAGGACGTATCTGTGATTGACACGTGGCAGGCTCCTATTGGCCTACGTGAAGGACACGTGGCGGAACCTGGTTGGTCCACTTGTCAGACGGTGATTGGTGGATAAAAATCCCCTAATCAACTATATTTTCCATTTTATTCTTTCCCAAGCATATATCAAAGGGGGTATAAGTACACACGATAAAGGTTTCAAATAGGTAGTACACATTTCTACACAACTAAGCAATATGTATGCTTTAAAGGGTTATAAGCCATACTTCCCAACCTGTACTTGTGATTGTGATATTACAGTTTGTTTTAAGTACCAGTGAAACTAGTTAGGGTTCCACTACATCATCAGTGGAACCACTGTATGTTACTAAGGGAACCATAAACTAATTTCAGGCTACCACTATTTATAATTCCTCCTTCCATTAATATGTTAGTCGCAGAAATCTTGTGTCTAATTTTATTATTAGCCTTAGTTGTAGACTTGTCTATATCCAGTTTTAATTGCACTAACCGTAGTTATAGTTCCTCTACATTAATAGAGGAATCATGGTTAGTTCTAAGCGAACCCTTCTACACTATATTTGAGGAAAAACAAGGAAATTACTTGCCTAAACTGACACATTTATGCACATTATCTATTCAAATTAGGGTAATCAAAGACTAATTCATTGGATTTAACAAATTAGCCTTATTAGTTAATCAAAGACACATTCATAGGATTTCCACTTATTTCAAATTAAAAATTTTTTACATTGATAAGTGAAAGGGATACAACAAGGCTAATATGTTACACACTACAATTGTTTTGACGATTTAGCCTTTGCAGTTCAATTCTGTCAACCCTTAAAGTACAGTACAAGGCCAACCACCGAAATAGTTAGAGACATCTTCACAATTTTGACCAACAATTGCTCCAATACATCAACCCTATGACATAAATTATCAAATTCACTATTGTTCAGACTCCGAATGAGATCTTCATTCTGTGCCCATTGCCAGAAATTGCATGATCTACATTTGTAGTACGGCCTTCTGGGGTTAGCTTCCGAAAGGGAAATTCGAAATTCAGCTAAAGCATCCCCTCCACAATTGCATCTCTTCCCAGCAACCCAAATTATGTCAGTGCTGGAGTTTTGAAATCTGCTTCCCCTACAAACAGATGCATAATTAGTACTCATAATTAGGCTGAAGTTATGGTTGTTGAAGTGTTTATTTCTAAACCCTTTTTTGATAGGCTTTGTTCTACTTTTTGTTTTAATTTTTTTTTTGAGAGGGTTTGTTGTTCTGTTTTTTGTTTTAATTTGTTTTTTGTGAGGGTCACTGAATTGGGTTAGGATGCACTATTTATAGGGATTTGGAAATCAGTGATTTTGACGGAAACCCCAAAAAGAAATCCCGCCCATATGAATGTTTCAAATTTGAACTAAATTTGGGAATCAAGCCATTTGCTACGTCACAACGACTAAAAGTAACATTCAATCGGACGTTTACATTTTTAGGTGGAATTTACTAAATTCCATGTGTATTAGTTAATGTACATTTTTAGGTGGAATGATACCCTTATTCGCCTCAGTGTGACTAAATTAAAAGTGAAATTGACATTTAATATAAAAAGTGGAACCTCAACTCATTTTACAGAATTAGTCAATGAATATGTTTGAATGGCACTAATAGTTGCCTAATAATAGAAGTAAGTGCCACTAAATAACGGGAAGCGGTTCTTACATTATATCCTAATTTCGCATCATCAATTATCGTTAATAAAGAGAAACAATTCAAGGGATTATTAAAGCACGACTTGTAACATTCAATAACCCCCACTACAATTACAATAGGTTTCCCTTCAACTACTCACACATGTCATTGTTGTAAGGTAATTGTCCTTTACAACCCTCCTTTACAACCCCATATCGATCATATTGATGATCACCTCTTAAACGTGCTAATGCTTTTTTTTTAGTAAGGTGCTAATGCTTTTTTTGAATCAAATACAATGACATATAAAGGTGCTAATGCTTTTTTGAGTAATAGAGGGTGTGATTAATAAGGAGATCATTTTATCCCTTTTAATTCGGGTGTTATTCAACTAAGTCCACTTAGTAGCTGTTTTACAATCTCAATGGTACCCTTCGATACCTAGCTGGTACCCTAGCATGTAATTTACGTCAGTGAAACATTTGGTGTAGATAATAGTTGTTTCTTATTATGACTGGTGAAGTTTATCCGTTTGGTGGTACCTTCGAATTGAAGTTGGCCATTTTTATCCAATTACGCACATGTATGTAGTTACAACACCAAAATGAAGGAGGTTAAAGGATATAGGTTCAATTTGTATTAACAATCACAGTTATAATGATTCAACTGTGAAGTTAACAATTGCAATACCGTAATTTCGCATCATCAATTATCGTTAATAAAGAGAAACAATTCAAGGGATTATTAAAGCACGATATGTAACATTCAATAACCCCCACTACAATTACAATAGGTTTCCCTTCAACTACTCACACTTTAAATTGGTGTAAGGTAATTGTCCTTTACAACCCTCCTTTACAACCCCATATCGATCATATTGATGATAACCTCTTAAACGTGCTAATGATTTTTTTTGAGTAAGGTGCTAACGCTTTTTTTGAATCAAATACAATGACATATAAAGGTTCTAATGCTTTTTTGAGTAATAGAGGGTGTGATTAGTAAGGGAGATCATTTTATCCCTTTTAATTCGGGTGTTATTCAACTAAGTGCACTTAGTTTCTGTTTTACAATCTCAATGGTACCCTTCGATACCTAGTTGGTACCCTAGCATGTAATTGACGTCAGTGAAACATTTGGTGTAGATAATAGTTGTTTCTTATTATGACTGGTGCAGTTTATCCGTTTGGTGGTACCCTAGAATTGAAGTTGGCCATTTTTGTCCAATTACGCACATGTATGTAGTTACACCATTAAAATGAAGGAGGTTAAAGGCTATAGGTTCAATGTGTATTAACAATCACAGTTATAATAATTCAACTGTGAAGTTAACAATTGCAAATCAGAAGAAATGAATTACAGGAATTAGTCTTAAAGACAGAAATGAAACAACACTGTATTCATAATGACAGTCAAACTAAACGTCTGGGATTCGGTCAAACAAAACTAAATAGTATATCACATTGAATTAGAGACTAAGGTAAACAGTCAAAGTCAAAATAAAAGGGAATCTAACAACACACACAACACAGAAGAATCAAACTAAACGTCTGGATTCGGTCAAACATAACTAAATAGTAAATCACATTGAATTAGAGAATAAGGTAAACAGTCAAAATAAACGGGAATCAAACCACACACACAACACACATGAATCAAACTAAACGTCTGGATTCGTTCAAACAAAACTTAAACACTTGCTATCTACTAAATCCCCCCCTTTTCATTTCTAAACCCCTACACCCTTTCATATGTTCAGTGTAGCCTTTCAAATGTTCAGTGGTATACTTTCATGTCTACTAGTTCCATCCTTTTCTTCAGTGGAAATTAACTTCTATGTGTTCAGTGGTACCCTTTAATTCTTTTAGTGGTACCATTTAATTTGTTCACTGATACCCTTTAATTTGTTCAGTGATACCCTTTAGGTTGTTCAGTGATACCCTTTAATTTGTTCAGTGATATCCTTTAGCTTGTTCAGTGATACCCTTTATTTTGTTCGGTGATACTCTTTACTTTGTTCAGTGGTACCCTTTATCCGATCCTTTTCACTTGTTATATGTCAACGTACACAATACAGGTTGGATACCATATGCTTTGATGCAAAATACTAGCAACTAAATTTAACCCACAACATTGAATTAGGTACAATCCTATTTTAATCGTGGGTTTAGTGTCGAAAAGAAAGCCCCAAATTTTGTTACAGTACATTGGTCAGATTATCACTAACTACACCACACTACTAATACGGTTAGGCAAAGTACTGACACTAATTGATTCTAATTCTAACTCCTACGTGATGCAGTTGGAGTGGGTGGTGGAGTAGCGGGTGGCCTGGTACGTGGAAATATTGGAACGAACCCTCCTTGCCTGGATGCAGCTGATGCGGGAGACACAGGGCTTCTCCACCCGCGAACTGGGATCGGATAAGGAACATTGGCAATTGGAAAATGTGAATAAGGAAGGTACCCACCCTGCTGGGAAGAAATCTGGGAACCATGAAATTGGTGAACACCACCACCAACAGAGGTAAAGTACCCAATTGACCCATCCATATCCACTATCTGAATACCTCCAGCAGAATGTGGGCTGTATTGATAATGAGCATGGTGCTGAAACTTATTGGACGGAGTTGCTTGCATACATATCGTGGCAAAAGTAAAGTAATATTTTTAATTCTAATCAAAAATGGATAAATAATAACAACAGAGTCAGAACAAATTACCTGGGGCATTGTTGATGAACTCGGAGTAGTAAAGCCTGCCTGTGAATCTGTTTTCTTTTTTGCTTCAGACTTTTTGGCAGTCTTTCTTGGTTTCTCAAGGCACGACTTATACCTTGAATCAGTGGTGCGATGAGCAGGCCTCTTAGGAAGTGGAGGATCTTTAGGTATTATTGGAGGATCTTCCTCTACAACATTTTGGGGGTCACAACTACCTTGTCTTTGCGTTGAAGGTTTACTATCATTTCCTTTTTCCATGGCCACAGATGAAGGTGTACCAACTAACCCCTTCTTGATAACCACTGCGATCTTCTCATCCACTTGCAGTTCCAGAAGCTGTAATGCTTGCATTACCACTGTAGTTGATTCAAGGTATGCAATGCCTTAGAACACAACGACCCAAACCTAACCATCATTTTATCAAACCTACAGACCTCGGCTTTTTTGTTAGGGTCATGGTAAAAAACCTTGACCCGTGTGTGCTTCCTTATGACATCTTTCCTCTACCTCCGTAAGATGTATTTATCAGGGATTTCAAAGAAATTAATCCTCTCGTACACCTTTATCATGTGGCGACAAATGATGCCAGCACAATCAAACATCCTACATTCACAAGACACTTCTTTACTTGAACTATCATACAGAAGCTTATACTCCCTCTTCATCTTTGAAGGTTTCTCCTTCCTACAATTTTTAGGTTTATACCAAACTCGATCCTCCACAATGTGTTCAGTCACATTATCAGAAAGTTTGTTTCTATGAATCTCACTAACATACATTACGCGACTGCACTCTCTTTGCACCTCCTTGAATTTGGCATCTATGTAGACCATCTGGAAGACCAATTCAGCTGGAAAGTCACTATACGCTTGTCGAACATACCTCTCATTATTGTCATCAGCCCTTTTCTCACTAGTAGATCTAACCTCCAAGGCATATCAACATACCGCTCCACAAACTCGGACAGCAATGTGTGCTTGCTTAGGTATCCATAAAAAAACCTATGAATACTCTCAACACGCTGCGTTGTTTTCATGCCAGCCCAAAACAAGTGCTTCAAATAGGCAGGAACCCACATCTGACGCTCCTAATACAACCCTGTCCATTACCTTGTTGAAATCAGAAGGTCCTCCACATTGGAAACACCCACAAAACACACACAACCAAGTACACACACAGAACAGAACAGAGAGACCAGAACATAAACACTAAAGAACACACACACAACAGAACAAATAGCCTAACAGAACAAAAAACCCAGAACACAAACAAAGAGCAACTAACAAAAGCCAATCCAAGCATAGAAATCCATTTACAGAAAACTTCCTCCTCACACAAATAGCAAAAACCCAACAGGGGACATACAATAAACAACAATACCCATCCAATTCATTCACATTCAAGGAATTTTATACATAAACAAGAATAAACCTGTTAGCCATTCATCATCTTCTATTTCATGTTTCTTGATCACTGTTTGCCAATTACTCTCAAACTCTTCACAATCTAGGCTGTCATAAATTGCATTCTCGAGGTCATCATGTAAAGCTGGATAATTAGGGAGCTTGCCCAATTTCTTTCCAAATTTCTGAGTAATGTGCCAAATGCACCATCGGTGAGTGCTTTCCTTCATGGTCAGCTTCAACGCTTTCTTCATTGCCGGGTCCTGATCAGTAAGAATCCCAATGGGCTTTTTCTCGCCCATACACCGCAACCAGTTTGAGAATACCCATACAAAAGTTTCTGAAGTCTCACGGGATAACAGTGCACAGCCAAACAAAATTGTTTGACCGTGGTGATTCACCCCAACAAAGTTACAAAATGGTAACTTGTATTCATTCGTAAGGTATGTGGAATCAAAAACAACTACGTCACCAAATTCCTCGTACGCGACCCGACTCCTTGCATCTACCCAAAGCACATCTTGTAGGCGCCCCAACTCATCTACATGATACGTGTGGAAAAAATTAGAATTATCATCTACCATTCGCTTAAAGTAAGCAAACATGGCCTTTGTATCACCCTCCTCACATTACTCCTTTCTTTTTTTCGCCACTTCTTCGTGTAGATCTTGCTGTGTGAATTGCATGTTCTCCCTAACATTTCTTTGTCGGGCCATACAGTTAAAAAACTGAGCTACAGGAACTCCAGCTCTCCGATCATTCAACAATTGTTTCACCAAGTGGGGATTGTCATTGAGGAACTTCTTCCTAAATTTTGTAATGTTTTTTGACTTTCTTGGAGTAGGATTGTGACCAACATGTTCAAGATGCACCCTCTTAATCAACCAGCCACCATCCTTATTCACATTGGCATTCAAATGAACAGCACAATCCACTTTTTTGCTTTTCCTTTTAATCAACACTTCTTCACAAATATGAGAATCACTCACAAAAGTACACCCGGTTTTCTTCCTCTTCCTTCCTGGCAAACCGTAGCATTCACAAGTCCATGTCACGTTTCTCTTATCCTTTGCATTCTCACCTTTCCTTATTGTTGCTCCACTAGACCGAACAACACCAAAACCTTCCTGTTTCCCATAATTCCTAAAGTACTCATCAATTTTTTGCCAACTATCAAACACCATTCCCACACTTGGAGGGGGAAGTGAAACCTCTACATTTGCAAACTCTTCTATCTCCACACTAATAGCCACATTACTCTGTCCTTTTGTAGGAGTTTTATAGGACTCCTCCCCAACATTCACCTTCATTCATTACAATAATTACATTACATGAAGTGAATATAATAATTACTTTGGTCAAAAATAAATATAATAATTACTGCCATGATTAATTATAATGATAATTAAATAACAACACCCACAATTCCAACATATTGATTCCATTAAGAAATAAATAATTCCTTATTATAACAACAAACTACCCATCCCAAGAACAAACAATCTAAACACCACATATCACAATTGCATGCATACACGCTAATCCACGGATTGAGTAAAAATCAATCACAATGTGCATAAAATCAAGCTCTAATTGCAAGACCTAATTTCAAAGATTTTAAATATCATCACCAAAAACTAATACCCACACCAAATATACAGGTAACATAAACCAATTTGATATAATTACGAACGACATAATATTCCAACCCACAGTCGAGAAAGTTACCTCCTTTAGCAATTCTTCAATTGCTGCTGCACGAGCTTCTTCTTCGCCAACAACGTCTTCATCCTCTGAACCACCCACAATCACGCCTTCCTCCGCTACTTTTCCGAAATCAACGACTCGCTCTGCTAGAGTAACTCTGACTTTTTCCGCAACGACATTGTTCTCCGCGGCTGCCCAATGTCCCCCTACTAAACCAGATTCAACCTCTATACGATTTTGTAAAAATGGATCATCCAAGATTAACATCTTCCTTGCCATTTTAACTCATAAAGAATTTTACTTTCAGGTTTTGAAATACAGGGGGGAAATATTGAAGTCAAACCACAGGAATGAAGAACAAAACCTAAGTGTCAGAAAGTCATAAAGAGAGGGTGAGTCAAAAGTTTTTTTCGTCTACGTACACAAGTACAATACGCTTTAACCAAATACCTTCAATTCTCTTTTTTTCCCACTTCTTCTGAACCCGTAATGCTTTATTGGGACCCACCCGTTACTTCCCCACCCCGTTTTTAATGTTATGCATTTCTAAATGCATAAAATTACTCCATTTCTAGTTCCTCATCTGCGTTGAGGTTGCGGGTTGTTGTTGATTGTTGCGTGAGGTGGTGCCTTTGAGGGTGCTGCTTGCGCGAATCGATAGTTTGATGGTGGCCAGTTTTGTAACTTAAATAATTATTGTTATTCTACACAAATTCCAAATTCAATAGGCAACGGGAAGAAGAAGTAGATGACTAATTTCAAAAGTTCAAACACCAATTTCAATTGTGATAGACGATTAAATGACGAAGATTAACTCAATTAAACCACAAACAACTATGTTACACTTTATCTTCTGCAAATAATCACACAACAATTGTTTATTCAATTGGACTATACTCTATTTGAAATGGAAAAATTCAAAACATTAAAGCTCCGTGTATGACGTAAATTCAAGCTTTAAAGATGAATGTAATACCCTTATTTTCATACGTATTTTCCTAATTAATTAATTAGGAATTATTTTATAAAAAGGGTATTTTAGTAAATTTATTATTTGGAGCCAAAATAATATTTGAATTTTGGCGCCAAAAGTATATTGAAAACTAATCCTTATTCTGGATAAGATTTATATATTATCCATTTATCTTAGGAAAAATTGCTCCCATTAATCTGAACTTTGCCTCATCCGTCGAAATCAATCCCAACTTCAGTTTATTATCTATCACTCCCAACTTTGGGGGGTATTAATTTTCCTGGTATGGTGGATGAACCAAGCTCAACTTCAGAATCTCCCTTGGATTGTACATCCTCAGCTAGCTTTCCTTGTGGACCCGTCACTAATGCTCCCTTAATCGAGAAAGATCTATACTTTGACCTCCAAATCTCAAAAAGTGACTTTCTCATAAGCAAGCAATGGCCTCTTTGTAACGAAAACCGAGATGGAATTCAGGCAGCCGGAGGTTTCTGTAAGGTTCTTCCTTGATGTGGATCTTAAGTTGTGGCTGATGGAAGCTGTGTTCCAACCGAACAAAACCAGGCTGCACTCCTCCAAAACGTTCAAGTTCTTCAATCTGGGACCACAAACCCCGCAACATCTGAGGAAGGAAATCTTCCTTCGAGATCCTCTACCTGAACCCATGATTATTATAGCATGGAATGCTAGGGGAATCGCCAGAAAGGGCTTCCTCACAAACCTGCATCATCTCATTTAAGAACACACCACTGATATTATTTTTCTGTCTGAAATCAAAACTAGCCGTGCCCACACTAAACACATCATCCAAGACCTCCCTTATGATCGCTATGAGCTGGCTGAACCTAGAGGGTTAACTGGAGGGGCTCTACTGCTCTGGAAATCTGAGGTGTTGGACTTTAGTTCTGTCAGCAGGGACATTCATGCCATCCATGGTGTGTTTAAGGTAGTCTCCTCAAATTTTACTTTTTTTATTTCTTCTATTTATGATAGTACTAAGTTTAAAGTAGGATTGATACTTGGAATGATCTAGAGAATCTGTCTTCTTCTGTTAATGTGCCTTGGATTGTTATTGGGGATTTTAATGAGATTGTTGCTGCTAATGAGAAATTGGGGGATAGACCTATTGTTCAAAGATGGGCTGCTAGATTTCTTGAATGCATCCATACCTGTGGTCTTATTGATGTGGGTTTCATTGGTAATAGATTTACCTGGTCAAATAAGAGGAAAAGAAGGCCTATCTTTCAAAGATTAGACAGAGCCCTGATCAACTCCCTTTGGCTTCAGAATTTTCCTCACTCAAACCTTACTCATCTCACTAGGGATACTTCAGATCATTGCCCAATTAAACTTCAATGCTTACAGCCCCAACCTCCTGTCCAAACCTTGAAAACCTTCAAAATGGAACCCTTATGGTACATCTATCCTGGGTTTAGAAACACGGTTGAAAATTCTTGTCCCCTTGATGCTTCTCCCTTCCATCATAAGCTCAAATCCCTCTCTTCTACTATTATGTGTTGGGTCAAAAATACAGTTCCTAATCCCCTAGCTGTCACTAAGAAACTTCAAAGAAGAATTTCTGGAGTCCAAAGTTCCCTTGAAAGGGAACCCCATAGCCAATTCCTCCATAACCTTGACTCCCATCTGTCTTGCTCTCTATCTAGTTCCTATGACCAGGAGGAAGCTTTCTAGGCAGTGAGAGCTAAATCAAATTGGTTGTTTGAAGGGGATAGGAACACCTCCTTCTTTCACAAATTTTTCCTCATTAGGAGATCCCATAATAGAATCTAAAACATGTCTAATGAGGTGGGTGAAGTTGTGCCTAGCTCTAATCTGCATGACCACATTGCAAACTATTTCTCCAGTCTCTTCACTTCTGAAGCTACTCTTCCCCTTGGGGAGATCACCTATGGGACCTTGTTCCGTATCTCCCACCCCCCTGCCTTGTTTGAAGTTCATCAGGCTGTTTTCAGTATGAAAAGGTTCAAAGCTCTTGGTATGGATGGGTTCCATCCTTTCTTCTACTAGGAGCATTGGTCCTCTATTTGGAAGGACCTCCTTGATTTCTCCCATGATTGTTTCTCCTCTCTCTCTATTCCTGCTGAAGTCAATAAAACCTCCATCTGCCTCATTCCCAAAGTCCAAAACCCTGAGTCAATCAAGCAGTATAGGCCTATTAGTCTCTGTAATACTGTTTATAAGATTATCTCTAAAATCCTAGTTCAAAAAATCAGACCTAAGATCAACTCCATCATTTCCCCTAATCAGAGTAGTTTCCTCCCTTGGAGGGGGTGCTGTAGACGTCGCTCGAAGTGCGCCTACGTTAAAAGCATGTTGTGAATTTGCTTGGCACTCATAGGAAGTGGGATTTAACATACTACGATTAGGGACAAATAAAGTAGCGAGCCGCCAACAAGTTTTTAATTAAGGAACTTGTAAACCGTTCACGGATCATAAAAGGCAACCACAAATAAGGGACAACGAAGGCAACAACGATTGACCCATGAAGGTTACACCCCATTAATAATCCATGAGATTACTAACTCCATATGGTTCGGAACCACGAAAGGAGGATCGGGGATGATGGTACGAAGTGAGTCATGGAGTCACATTCGCCCGTATTGGCCTCTACTCGATTCTTATAGTGAAAATTATTCCTGCGATATCAAAGGAATACTATAGACACCTAAAAATGTCTCCCCAAAACCAAATCTGTTGATGAACACCTTTCACCGCCATTATTGGTCGAGTTGAGTATTTAATCTTTGGAGTGCTTAAATTCATGTTCTATCCAATATATTTCATGAACCAATCCAATTTCTAGCTCATTTCCCTAAACCATAACCTATTTTCCACTTTTCGTGTCCACATCGCAAAACTGAGAGAAACTGATATTATGGATAT